AGAAAGAATTAGCCACAAGGTATCCTCAGCACTTCTGACGCTGCTTCGGCTTCGACTGCTGCTGTTGTTGTTGTTGCTGTTGGCGACCATCACGAGAGAACCTGTTTTCCAGTCAGCCAGGCTACCTTTTTGTTTGTGCTGCACATTCTTCGTCTTCTTCTTCCTCTTCTCTGCACTTGTTGCTGATGCAGGTAATGTGGTCTTGCTGCTCTTGTGTGGTAGTAGTGTTGCCGACTGAACAGTGTTTCCCCCTCTTCCCCCTGTTCAATAGGCGGAATCGATTGACCGGTAATAATATGGCATTGTCAGTGTCAGTGAAGAAGAGAAGGAAGAGAGAATGAGGATGCGCAAATCGAACTCTCTTTTAAAACTCGAGCTCGATTCTCCCAGTTCATCCGGGACTTTGTTTGACTGAGGGGAGTTGAGGACGAGAACTTTTCNGTCAGTGAAGAAGAGAAGGAAGAGAGAATGAGGATGCGCAAATCGAACTCTCTTTTAAAACTCGAGCTCGATTCTCCCAGTTCATCCGGGACTTTGTTTGACTGAGGGGAGTTGAGGACGAGAACTTTTCCTCTCGTCAGTGCTCGGAATTTCTGCATGACTGCAACGCTGCCTCCGCTGTCGTCGCATCAGTAACGCACAGAGCACATTTCTCCTTTTCCCTTTCTCCATTTCTGTCTCATTTTTTTCAGTGAGAAAGTTTTGGCAGTGAACAGAAGAAGAGGACAGGTGACTGACTGACTGTCTGCTCGAAAACCGTTGGCGACATGCCCTGTCTGCACACAAACACACAAACACACAGACACAAAGTTTCTGCCGTTTAAAAAGCATAACAGTCCACTTAATCTTAAAAACTAANCCTCTCGTCAGTGCTCGGAATTTCTGCATGACTGCAACGCTGCCTCCGCTGTCGTCGCATCAGTAACGCACAGAGCACATTTCTCCTTTTCCCTTTCTCCATTTCTGTCTCATTTTTTTCAGTGAGAAAGTTTTGGCAGTGAACAGAAGAAGAGGACAGGTGGCTGACTGACTGCTCGAAAACCGTTGACGACATGCCCTGTCTGCACACAAACACACAAACACACAGACACAAAGTCTCTGCCGTTTAAAAAGCATAACAGTCCACTTAATCTTCAATACTACGAAAGAGAGAAAAGCGCTTATAAAATCCTAATCTTCTGCTGTATATGGATTGTTGCCACCACCACCGCCACCGTTGCTGTAAACGAAGAAATGAAAAGAGTGTTTAGAGAAAAGACAACGACTGTACAGCAGCAACAGGTGGAGTGTTGCAGTCAGTATGTCTGCATTGCAATTAAAGGGGGCAGTGTAGGTGGTGGTGATAGTGAAGGGATGGACTCTGCCTGAACTAGCAACAAACTGCTAATTACTGATGCACAGAGGCAGTATTGTTCAGAGAGAAAGAAAGAAAGAGAGGGAGGCTTCCACTTCTATCATTACAAAATAGTGGAGGAGAAAGTACACAATTTGTAAATGACCGAATTCATGGTCAACCGTGGCGGGCTGACTGAGGCTTGATCTCCACTTTGTCTGCAACTTTGATGGATGGAAACGAACTGGCTATGGCCGTAGTAGTAGTACAGTAAAATAATGTCATGTTCATGTTAATAATTCATAATTCAAATCACATCGTAAATACAAGTCTACCAAGTCTCTAGCACTACTACTACTACTGACTACTGCTCGAGTAGGAAGAGAAAGAGCAAGGGACAGCTAAACTCTAAGTGACTGAGAAAGCTGTGCGCCACTTGCGTGTCTGTCTGTCTGTGTGTATGTGAGTGTCCATTACAAAAAGGAAAGGAAGGGGAAGAGAGTGAGAGAGTGACTTAGCAAAGTAGAATGAAAGAAACGAAGGGGGCGGGGGAGGACGGCTGAACTTTGCGTGGCTGCTGACACCACCAACCACAACAATCACAACAACTGTGAGCTCTTCAGCTGAAAAAATCAAAGTCGAAATAAAAAATCGAAATCGAAATCGACACGACCATCTCCACTTCTCATCTCCTCCTCATCATTATCTATTTTCAGTGAATCTTCTTCTTCAGCACATTGAGAATCTTGCTCCGCTGGCGGTACATGTGCGAGGTCATAAAGTAGAACACTGGTGGGGGTAGGAGGAAGAGTGATTAGAAAACAAGAGGAAAATAAAATCGAAACACACAAAAGAACTCACGAAAGAAGATGCCGCAGTTGAAGTAGAGCGAGAGAAAGGCGGGCATGTAGAAGGCAAAGTTGGCGGCGTTGGGCAGCGATATGGACAGCTTGCCACTGGCCTCCAGCAGCGGAATGCTCCGGTAGATGATGATCGCCTCAAAGAGAAAGCCCAGCGGGTAGAGGAGCATCCAGGCGGTGTAGCGCACCCAGGTCACCAGGCGAATGTTGACCTTGTAGATGTGCAGCATGTAGTAGGGGTAGCGGAGCAGCTCGGAGAGGGTGTACACCAGCAGCAGGTAGAAGGTGGCGTAATGGGCCTGCATCTCCTCCTGCCGGTCAATGAGGAGGAAGATGAAGAAGGTCCGCCCGGACAGTTGGATGGCCGGAAGGAGGGCGCTGCCGGTGGTGTAGCCCACCAGCGGGTTGACGATCTCCAGGATCTGCATCAGGTTGAGGAACTTGATGGTGTTTCGCAGCGAGGGGTAGATGGTTTTGATTGTCTCTGGTGAGTGGGAGAAATAGAAATCGAAGTGTTGGTCATTTTGATAAGAAAATATCGAAAACTTACCCGGACCTTCCTTGAAGAAGTGTATGATGAAGATGACGAAGAGGTAGATGAAGCCGACAAACTGGAAGAGGTTGTAGAGGAAGAGGTAGGCGGTTTTGAACTCCTGCACGCGGTTCTTTCGCCCGCGGCCAAAGTTGCGGTCCTTGTAAATGCGCGGATTGGGCAGGCCCCGGTTGGCCGCCAGCTCCTCCACCTCGCTGTCGTCGGAACTGGAGTCGAGGTCCTCCGCCTTGATGCGGTCAAAGTCGACCTTGAGCCAGGCGGGCTTCGCCACCGCCTCCAGCAGCCGTGGCCAGAGAATGAGCAGCTTCTTCTTGAGGACAAACTCCACATTGCGATCGGTGATCTTGTAGAAGCTTTTCTGCAGTGATGTTTTCAGAAGATACAATGGTTTTAAGCAAAAAAAACTAGTCAACCAAACAAGAAAGCCCACCAACCTCGGGCACCACCTCCGAGTAGAGGCTGAGCCGAAAGGCGTACTCATTGAGGCCCTTGGCGCCGATGCCCACCGCGTAGAACTGCAGTTCCTTCTCCTTCAGGTCGATGCTCGGTTCCTGGGGGAGGGCGACAAGGGAACCAGAACTTACTAAAAGAACGTAAACAAAGCATCAGCAGCACCACCAGCACACTTACCGAGACATTCTTCAGGTCGACGAGCAGCGTGATCGAGTCCGAAGTCTGGCCCCAGTAGCAGAAGGGACTGGGAAAGGCGGAGTGGTCCATGGATTAGTTGCCGGTGGTGGTGGGCAGTGTCGATTGTGCTCAAAAATAGAAACCGATGATGATGATGATGATGACACGCAAAAGTAGTTGACAGCGGCGCTGGAGAGTGAGAGCGAAACAGAAATGTGCGTTGCTTACGCTGCTTACCATTTGAGAACTGACGACAACATTCACACAGTGAGACAGACAGACTGACAGCAACAGCGGCAGCAGCAGCTGACATGCTCATTGCTCCAGTAAGCGCGAAACAGGAGAACATCCTCGAATCCTCGAGGGCTCAAATCGAATCGACAATCCACATCTCAAAGACGTAGGTAGTAAGAAAAGGCCACAAGTTTACTCTTTGGTGATAAAACTTCTTCTTCTTATACGGTACACAATCGCTTCCTCGAAGGAAGAGGATGGTT